CGAAAAACTATTTTTCAAGCTCGACGAATCTCACACTACCACCTTGTCATCAGCAAAATGGCTTCGGCGTCATCAACGTGAGACCACCTCATCATCGCCTAACAGCATCGAATCCACCAAGGTGAATCCACTCTCACGTCGTCGCCGCCTAACCGCATTAAATTCGCTAAGGTGAATTCAACCACACCTCGTCGTTGTCGTACCATGTTGAGTCCACCGAGGTGAAGTAAAACTATCCTTGTCACCGCCTAACCGCGTCAAATCTACCAAAGTGAATCCGCTCTCACCTCGGCGTAGCCTAACTGCATCAAATTTGCCAAGATGAATTAAACCTCACCTCGTCGTCGCCGTACCACGTCAAGTCCACCGAGGTGAATTCAACCTAACCTTGTCGCCGTCTAACCACGTCGAATCCACCAAGGTGAATCCGGTCTCACCTCATCACAGCATAACCGCGTCGAATTCGCCAAGGTGAATTCAACCTCACCTCATCGTCGCCGTACCACGTCCAGTCCACCGAGGTGAATTCAAACTATCCTTGTCACCGCCTAACCGCATCGAATCCACCAAGGTGAATTCGCTCTCACCTCGTCGTCGCCAAACTGCATCGAATCTACCAAGGTAAATCCGCTCTCACCTCATCGCCGCCTAACCGAGTCAAATTCGCCAAGATGAATTCAACCTCACCTCATCGTCGCTGTACGCTGTCAAATCTACCGAGGTGAATTCAACCTACTATCGCCGCCTAACCGCATCAAATCCACTAATGTGAATCTGTTCTCACCTCATCGCCGCCTAACCACATCGAGTCAACCGAAGTGAATTCAACCTCACCTCGTCACCGCCATACCGCATCGAGTCCAGCGAGGTGAATCCACTCTCACCTCATCGTCACCATACCACGTCGAATCTAGAGAGGTGAATCCAGTCTCTACTCGTTATCGCCATACCGCGTTGAGTCCAGCGCGGTGAATTCACTCTCATCTCGTTGCTGCCATACCGCGTCGAGTCCAGTGAGGTGAATCCATTCTTACCTTGTCGCCGCCATACCACGTCGAGTCCATCGAGGTGAATCCACTCTCACCTCGCCGCTGCCATACCAGGTCGAGTCCAGCAAGGTGAATTCACTCTCACTTCGTTGCCACCATATCGCATCGAATCCAGTGATGTGAATTCACTTTTACCTCGTCGCCGCCTTACCAAGTCTCGAGTCTACCATCGCTACTTCACCTCATCGTCTTGGTGTTACCGTGCCAAATCTAGCAAAATCTTCTGCACCTTGGTTCAACATCACAAGCTGAGGCCATTGGGGTTACCTCGCCAAAATTGATAACACCTAGT